ACATTTCGGACTCCTTACCTCTTCCGGTTCCCAAATTAGGTCCATTTGATGTTCCTCCCTTGGATTGAGACCGTTTCACTCATGTTTGTCCTCATAGTCATGTGTAGAACTATTAATCCATGTTTGGGTAAGTATGGGTCCATCTAGTTCATCTTATACACTACAAGTGAGTTTCCACAATGTGGAGTCACAGAGGTACATTTCGGACTCCTTACCTCTTCCGGTTCCCAAATTAGGTCCATTTGATGTTCCTCCCTTGGATTGAGACCGTTTCACTCATGTTTGTCCTCATAGTCATGTGTAGAACCTATTAATCCATGTTTGGTAAGTATGGGTCCATCTAGTTCATCTTATACACTACAAGTGAGTTTCCACAATGTGGAGTCACAGAGGTACATTTCGGACTCCTTACCTCTTCCGGTTCCCAAATTAGGTCCATTTGATGTTCCTCCCTTGGATTGAGACCGTTTCACTCATGTTTGTCCTCATAGTCATGTGTAGAACCTATTAATCCATGTTTGGGTAAGTATGGGTCCATCTAGTTCATCTTATACACTACAAGTGAGTTTCCACAATGTGGAGTCACAGAGGTACATTTCGGACTCCTTACCTCTTCCGGTTCCCAAATTAGGTCCATTTGATGATTCCGTTTCACTCATGTTTGTCCTCATAGTCATGTGTAGAACCTATTAATCCATGTTTGGGTAAGTATGGGTCCATCTAGTTCATCTTATACACTACAAGTGAGTTTCCACAATGTGGAGTCACAGAGGTACATTTCGGACTCCTTACCTCTTCCGGTTCCCAAATTAGGTCCATTTGATGTTCCTCCCTTGGATTGAGACCGTTTCACTCATGTTTGTCCTCATAGTCATGTGTAGAACCTATTAATCCATGTTTGGGTAAGTATGGGTCCATCTAGTTCATCTTATACACTACAAGTGAGTTTCCACAATGTGGAGTCACAGAGGTACATTTCGGACTCCTTACCTCTTCCGGTTCCCAAATTAGGTCCATTTGATGTTCCTCCCTTGGATTGAGACCGTTTCACTCATGTTTGTCCTCATAGTCATGTGTAGAACCTATTAATCCATGTTTGGGTAAGTATGGGTCCATCTAGTTCATCTTATACACTACAAGTGAGTTTCCACAATGTGGAGTCACAGAGGTACATTTCGGACTCCTTACCTCTTCCGGTTCCCAAATTAGGTCCATTTGATGTTCCTCCCTTGGATTGAGACCGTTTCACTCATGTTTGTCCTCATAGTCATGTGTAGAACCTATTAATCCATGTTTGGGTAAGTATGGGTCCATCTAGTTCATCTTATACACTACAAGTGAGTTTCCACAATGTGGAGTCACAGAGGTACATTTCGGACTCCTTACCTCTTCCGGTTCCCAAATTAGGTCCATTTGATGTTCCTCCCTTGGATTGAGACCGTTTCACTCATGTTTGTCCTCATAGTCATGTGTAGAACCTATTAATCCATGTTTGGGTAAGTATGGGTCCATCTAGTTCATCTTATACACTACAAGTGAGTTTCCACAATGTGGAGTCACAGAGGTACATTTCGGACTCCTTACCTCTTCCGGTTCCCAAATTAGGTCCATTTGATGTTCCTCCCTTGGATTGAGACCGTTTCACTCATGTTTGTCCTCATAGTCATGTGTAGAACCTATTAATCCATGTTTGGGTAAGTATGGGTCCATCTAGTTCATCTTATACACTACAAGTGAGTTTCCACAATGTGGAGTCACAGAGGTACATTTCGGACTCCTTACCTCTTCCGGTTCCCAAATTAGGTCCATTTGATGTTCCTCCCTTGGATTGAGACCGTTTCACTCATGTTTGTCCTCATAGTCATGTGTAGAACCTATTAATCCATGTTTGGGTAAGTATGGGTCCATCTAGTTCATCTTATACACTACAAGTGAGTTTCCACAATGTGGAGTCACAGAGGTACATTTCGGACTCCTTACCTCTTCCGGTTCCCAAATTAGGTCCATTTGATGTTCCTCCCTTGGATTGAGACCGTTTCACTCATGTTTGTCCTCATAGTCATGTGTAGAACCTATTAATCCATGTTTGGGTAAGTATGGGTCCATCTAGTTCATCTTATACACTACAAGTGAGTTTCCACAATGTGGAGTCACAGAGGTACATTTCGGACTCCTTACCTCTTCCGGTTCCCAAATTAGGTCCATTTGATGTTCCTCCCTTGGATTGAGACCGTTTCACTCATGTTTGTCCTCATAGTCATGTGTAGAACCTATTAATCCATGTTTGGGTAAGTATGGGTCCATCTAGTTCATCTTATACACTACAAGTGAGTTTCCACAATGTGGAGTCACAGAGGTACATTTCGGACTCCTTACCTCTTCCGGTTCCCAAATTAGGTCCATTTGATGTTCCTCCCTTGGATTGAGACCGTTTCACTCATGTTTGTCCTCATAGTCATGTGTAGAACCTATTAATCCATGTTTGGGTAAGTATGGGTCCATCTAGTTCATCTTATACACTACAAGTGAGTTTCCACAATGTGGAGTCACAGAGGTACATTTCGGACTCCTTACCTCTTCCGGTTCCCAAATTAGGTCCATTTGATGTTCCTCCCTTGGATTGAGACCGTTTCACTCATGTTTGTCCTCATAGTCATGTGTAGAACCTATTAATCCATGTTTGGTAAGTATGGGTCCATCTAGTTCATCTTATACACTACAAGTGAGTTTCCACAATGTGGAGTCACAGAGGTACATTTCGGACTCCTTACCTCTTCCGGTTCCCAAATTAGGTCCATTTGATGTTCCTCCCTTGGATTGAGACCGTTTCACTCATGTTTGTCCTCATAGTCATGTGTAGAACCTATTAATCCATGTTTGGTAAGTATGGGTCCATCTAGTTCATCTTATACACTACAAGTGAGTTTCCACAATGTGGAGTCACAGAGGTACATTTCGGACTCCTTACCTCTTCCGGTTCCCAAATTAGGTCCATTTGATGTTCCTCCCTTGGATTGAGACCGTTTCACTCATGTTTGTCCTCATAGTCATGTGTAGAACCTATTAATCCATGTTTGGGTAAGTATGGGTCCATCTAGTTCATCTTATACACTACAAGTGAGTTTCCACAATGTGGAGTCACAGAGGTACATTTCGGACTCCTTACCTCTTCCGGTTCCCAAATTAGGTCCATTTGATGTTCCTCCCTTGGATTGAGACCGTTTCACTCATGTTTGTCCTCATAGTCATGTGTAGAACCTATTAATCCATGTTTGGTAAGTATGGGTCCATCTAGTTCATCTTATACACTACAAGTGAGTTTCCACAATGTGGAGTCACAGAGGTACATTTCGGACTCCTTACCTCTTCCGGTTCCCAAATTTGGTCCATTTGATGTTCCTCCCTTGGATTGAGACCGTTTCACTCATGTTTGTCCTCATAGTCATGTGTAGAACCTATTAATCCATGTTTGGATATATGGGTCCATCTAGTTCATCTTATACACTACAAGTGAGTTTCCACAATGTGGAGTCACAGAGGTACATTTCGGACTCCTTACCTCTTCCGGTTCCCAAATTAGGTCCATTTGATGTTCCTCCCTTGGATTGAGACCGTTTCACTCATGTTTGTCCTCATAGTCATGTGTAGAACCTATTAATCCATGTTTGGGTAAGTATGGGTCCATCTAGTTCATCTTATACACTACAAGTGAGTTTCCACAATGTGGAGTCACAGAGGTACATTTCGGACTCCTTACCTCTTCCGGTTCCCAAATTAGGTCCATTTGATGTTCCTCCCTTGGATTGAGACCGTTTCACTCATGTTTGTCCTCATAGTCATGTGTAGAACCTATTAATCCATGTTTGAGTAAGTATGGGTCCATCTAGTTCATCTTATACACTACAAGTGAGTTTCCACAATGTGGAGTCACAGAGGTACATTTCGGACTCCTTACCTCTTCCGGTTCCCAAATTAGGTCCATTTGATGTTCCTCCCTTGGATTGAGACCGTTTCACTCATGTTTGTCCTCATAGTCATGTGTAGAACCTATTAATCCATGTTTGGGTAAGTATGGGTCCATCTAGTTCATCTTATACACTACAAGTGAGTTTCCACAATGTGGAGTCACAGAGGTACATTTCGGACTCCTTACCTCTTCCGGTTCCCAAATTAGGTCCATTTGATGTTCCTCCCTTGGATTGAGACCGTTTCACTCATGTTTGTCCTCATAGTCATGTGTAGAACCTATTAATCCATGTTTGGGTAAGTATGGGTCCATCTAGTTCATCTTATACACTACAAGTGAGTTTCCACAATGTGGAGTCACAGAGGTACATTTCGGACTCCTTACCTCTTCCGGTTCCCAAATTAGGTCCATTTGATGTTCCTCCCTTGGATTGAGACCGTTTCACTCATGTTTGTCCTCATAGTCATGTGTAGAACCTATTAATCCATGTTTGGGTAAGTATGGGTCCATCTAGTTCATCTTATACACTACAAGTGAGTTTCCACAATGTGGAGTCACAGAGGTACATTTCGGACTCCTTACCTCTTCCGGTTCCCAAATTAGGTCCATTTGATGTTCCTCCCTTGGATTGAGACCGTTTCACTCATGTTTGTCCTCATAGTCATGTGTAGAACCTATTAATCCATGTTTGGATAAGTATGGGTCCATCTAGTTCATCTTATACACTACAAGTGAGTTTCCACAATGTGGAGTCACAGAGGTACATTTCGGACTCCTTACCTCTTCCGGTTCCCAAATTAGGTCCATAGACTATCGTCAGATCTCTGGTTACCAAGACTTTGTGCTCAAGAGGCTTGACGGTTTTGTCAGAGTATTGTCAAATAAATTTCTTTGGTCTAATTGTTCTTTCTTTGATATTTGGCTGGTTAAATCTCTCAAATTTTTTTTTACGTGTGTCCAGGAGCTTTACGGTTTAGGCTGCCGGAAATTTGTTGTTGCAGGGTTGCCGCCGATTGGGTGTTTGCCAATCGAAATGACCACCAAAATGCAAACCGCCAGGGCTTGCGTGGAACAAGAGAACAAAGACTCAGTCTTATACAATCACAAACTGAAGAAGCATTTGCCACAAATCGAAGCGTCTCTAACAGGAAGCAAGATTCTTTATGCCAACATCTATGGCCCTTTGATGGACATGATCCAAAACCCTAGAAAATATGGTACATTACTTCCTAATTACGCAAGTCATATAACTTTTTTCTTGTTAAGTTTTTCAATATATACTAAAGTTGTTAAAAATCAAATGAAATGAAATTAGGGTTCAAGGAGACGAAGAAAGGATGTTGTGGAACAGGGCTTTTGGAAGCGGCTTTCCTGTGCAATGACTTTACAAAGACTTGTCCACATCATTCGGATCATATGTTTTGGGATTCCATTCATCCCTCGGAAGCTTCATACAATTACCTTGGTAATTTCATTGATGCTCAGATTCGAGGTTGGGCTAAGGTTTAGTTGCGTCACTAAATTACGGAACTAAATGTATTTTGTCGTCAAATTGACGACGGCATAAATCTGTGGCACCATGGAGATCTACGTACCTAATGGGTGCTTAATTGCTGATTATTATCTCTTTTTGTTTTCTTTATATTTTCAATGTTTTACGTAAGAGTAATGGAAATACTCTTCATGTTTTATTATAATGTTGTAATTTATGTTCTTTATTAAGAACAGTTTTTTTTTTTTTTTTTTTTTTTTTGTAATACAAATTAAGATACACTAGGGATTGACCTGCGCAAGGAAGTTCTTTGTAAAAATGTAAGAATTTACTGCTTCAGCAAACACCCCTTTGTTTTTCAGCATATTTTATAACACGTTCTTGGTTATTGTCTTGGAAGAAAAGTTTAAATTTCAGATCAGTGATAGAGCTTAAGGAAGACATACTTAACAAACTAAGCTTTTTTGTATTGAGTTATGTTCCGATGGATTTTGAGGTGAGGTTGACATTCGTATGTCAAGACCTTATATAGAAAAGGGAGGAGGTTCGAGGGTTTGGTATCATATAACACAACATTAAGTGCAGAGAATCATATTTTTGATAATGATTTTAAAGTGATTGACGACATTATAAATCCTCCGTTACACCGATTATCAATCAAGTGTTTGGAAACCTTGGAATATTACTTTACCATAAATTTAAAATTCAAAATAACTTGACGATCAATATTTTTAATGATGAACTGTGACATAGGAAGTTACTCTGATCTGTACGTTTCCATACATGTAAAAATTGCATATGACACGCATAAAATCGTGAAATTTGACTCCGATCTGTACGTTCTCATTTAATAGGTGAAACCTATTAGGTTTCCATAAAATGAATAGTTTTAAACATTGCAATATCTTTCAATGAGTAAAAATATGAAACCTGCTGGAAATGTTAATGCAAATTAATATCATTTTCATAATCTTTATCTCAACTAATTTATTAATGACAAAGCTTCTGTCTAACCTTAATTCTAATTCGGTTTAAATTGATTAATTGATGGTTTAATGGCCTTCTCCCTGTTTTTTTCACGTCACACATTAGACAGAATAATATGTTTGGTAGAGTAGGACTAAATAAAATGTGCTTCTAAAATTAAAACTATGTAGATATATTTTTAAAAATCAATCCTGGGCACATGTAACAAATTGTCAGGTAAAACTATGTGTATAATTCGGCTTCTTTCTCTTTTAATATAATCCTTTATCTCATATACTTTCTTGTCAACCAAACCGAATTGTGTTATGACCAATAGATTGTATATATGGAGCTGATAAACCAGTGAGCTAAATTCGGTTAACGTAATGTTAGTGAGTTGAACATTTAATTCTAAGTAAATAAAGATATTTTATACAATGGCATATATTGTAATTTGTCTAGTAAAATTTGTTTTAATTAAAAAATGGCTTGAGAGTGAACCTAGTGATAACACATAAGCAATGACATTTTTGTTAATAACACATTAGACAAAGGTTAGTTTAATAGTGTTTTTTCTTTTAATTTTTAATATATTAGGGATTTGACAATTTTTGGGATCATTGGAATGGTTGTATTTGTTTATTGTTCTATCACGAAGCGTAAGATTTGGTGATTTGACTACTAAGAAATGAACCAAACTAAGCTCGGATGTTTAATCCAGCTTTATATATTTTGTTCTGGCTCTTGAGTTTGTAAAGACCATGAGCTAGTTTGTATGGGTGAACCATCGTCTATAGCTTTGTACGTATAATGGAGGTTGAAGTAATAGACTTGAGATTAACGTTAATTAATAGTTCGGATAAGACAAAACGCCAATGCAGATCTGAACTGGAATTACGTTCAACTCTACACCCAAGTCACTCTCGTCTGCAAGTCTGCGACACATCACAATCCACAATGAGTGAAACATCAGTTGTAGCCAGCTTTAATTCCCTCTCAGCCTAGCTATGATTTGAACAAGATTTTCACTAAAAAATCATAAAAATACAAAAATTTCTAAATTTTACAACACAATTTTTTTCCTTAACTTGATAATTTAAAAAAATCCCTTAAAACATCATAATTTTTTAAAAAGAATTTATTTCTTTATATGTATATTGGCTATGTTTGTTTTGTTTAAAAGAAGAGAAAATTGCCAAAATACTCCAAAAAAAGGTTTCTTTGTCCCATTACACCTTTGCATTTGATCTTTGTCTCAAAACACTTTTTTTTTGGCAATTTGTCCATTTTTAACCTTGAAATTGAGTTGATAATGTTTTTTTAGAAATTTAAACATTTTTCGATTTAAAAAAATTAAATAAATAAAACAAAATTAAAAATTAAAATTAAAATAAATAAAATTCTAAAAGTCCTATAAATGATCTAAAGAATGTGTAAAATGTTTGAATATTTTTAAAATTGTTTTGGATGGTTAGAAAATTTTCTACAATTCTAAAATATCAAAGCATAAGCTACATAAATTTGAACCTTATTTATTTTAAAATAAATTAAAACATTTTCCATGAACCACAAGCTACATAGAACCATATTAGTTAAGAAATGATAGAGAGATAGAGGACTACAAAGGAAGGAGGGGATAAAGAAGACAAGGAAGACCATGGAGGATTAGTCGTGGTATATTTTCAGATAGTTGGAGGAAAATAAGGAAACAAAGATTTGAAAAATATTTGGTTGCAATATTCTCTGGATTTTGGCAGAAGTTGAACTCTATAAAATGTGGAACTCACCTATTTAGTAGAATATTCAGTGGAAACACGATTACTGCGGATTGTAGAAGTCTTCTTTTTAGTAGATCACTGGTTCTACGCCATGCAGAAAAACATGAAATATGTAGTACACGAAAACTAGGACCGGTAGATAGCAGTGTTTACCATAGAATTTGAAATCTACGATTAGTAGCGGATGGTGTATTTTGTAGAATATATTTGGAGCGAAATCTACAAAATGGTAGAGTGTATTATATATGGTAGATATTGAAGTCTAATCCGGAAAATGAATGAAGAAGTTGTAGATATCATATTCTACGGCGGTTAGACGTGCGGATATCTTGTAGAAAACGTATTCTGCTTTGATAATTTACTTTGTAGAACAAAAACTTCAAATAACTTTCTAACCATCCAAAATATTTTTAAAAATGTTCAACTATTTTACACATTCTTGACATCATTTTTAGGAATTTTAGAAATTTTGCTCACTTAAAAAAAATTCATTATGAGGTTTTAACAATATTGAAGGACAATTAAAGCAAAAAGTGACCAAATTCAAAAAAATGGTAAAAAGATAACAGTGGCCTTTTTTTGGGGTACTTTGCCAATTTCCCCCTTAGAAGAATCTGTTTTGACAGAACGGAGCCTGTGCTGTATTATGGATAAAAAAAGATCTTATAATCATATCCACAAAAAAAGTTCGTCTATGGCCCGCCGGGAAAATGTTTTTGTTATTGGCCCATATCTTTTCTGAATATTTTTTATATCTTATTATACTTACTAGGAGAGCACCCGCGCAACTCGCGGGATTATATAGTTATAGTTGTTTAAAATATTATTTTATTTTTAATAAAAACATGAAAATATAGGAAAGTAGCTGCGCGGATTTTTGTCTTCTACAATATTTATGTTAATACTTTCATTTATGTTCATTTTGCATATTTTCCATTATTATTTTACTTGCATGTTGTGTTTCTTTAGAATCATTTCACAAATTTGTACAATATTTATAATTTAGAAAACACTTAAAATACTGTCTATAAGGTTTAGTCTGAAAATTTCCTCTCTCTGAGCTGCAGGTTGTCTTGCTTTGATGATGTTTCACACCACTTGTTTGTATCTTATTGCCATCAGTAGTCACCTGACCTCCACAGCTGGCGATTGCTTCCACCTGAGACAAACAATATTTCTTGCCGTAGTCATTCATCTAAAAATTCTTTAGCAGGACTCTTGCAAAGCAGAATAAACCAGATGCTAAGGTTCTTTGACATGCAATGATCAAAGAAAAGGAAAAAAATTGAAAGTTAATAAATTCAAGATATGGTTGATTCCACTATGTTTCTGTTAACTCAAGAACTTGGAGGCATTTTGCTTAAAAAACCACACACAACAATGATATATACCAAAATCACAAAGATGGAAACTCCTTTACCTTGACCAAGAATGCCAAATATGAGATTTCTATTCAGATGTAGATAGATTTGATTTACTACCCAAAACTCATCGCAACCAACAAAATGTCCACTATAGTTTAGCAAGAACTGAGTAGTTTTTCAACATTGGAGTTACATATCTATAGATTTTTGGGAAATGTAAGCAACACACTGAACAACACATATTACATGAATCTTAAAAAGACACATGCTCCACTTTCCGACCGAAGCAAAAAAAAGACTAAAAAAGAAAAATCGAAACTTCAAAGAAATATTGCAAAAAAATCCAAACTTTTATAACTTCCAAGAGTAACATTCTGCATTTCAACAACGACTTCATCTTCACATCTTTTATCCAACTCAGTCTCCATGTGTTTGATCGACCTTCGCAGCTTCCCACAAGCTCCCGAAAACGCGTCTGAAGAACTCTGCAAACGCTCAACTTCAGCCTCGAACTCATCAACATTCCCCTCTATTACCTCCACCGCTTGCTTCATCTTACTAATCTCCTGCGGCGGATAAACGCAAGCTCCAAGCTCGTCGATATGCGCTCCTGTTCCTTGACACTGCTTCAAAAGCTTCTCAAGCGAGTCCACAAACCCGCTCTCGTCCTTTGCATTCTCCATCTTCATCATCCCAGGCGGTGATAACTCGGATGAGCTCTCTAATCAGAGAGATCGTGTCAGAGACAATCTCAGCAACAATTTTCGCTGCTTCCATTTCTTCACGAGACAAATCATCACCAAAATCATCGTCCTCATCCTCATCACCATCATCTGAGTTGTGATCATCACCAGCTGGCTTGACTTCGTTCATCATCTCCCTAGGAACATCCTTCATCGAAACCGCAACCTGCGTGATCCCTCTACCAATCTCTGTTTGTTCCAGGGACTTTCTTGAAACTGGAACATGCTTCCCAAACTGCTCCTGAAATCTTCGGAATTGACGGCTTCTTCCCCTTCTCATATGATCCTTCTGCAGACAGAGAGCATAGAACAGTTCCATCTAAAGATTTTTAGATATGAACTAAGAAGAAAGCGTAGAAACGTTAGTTAGTATGGATTAACGTATAAGGAGACGGAGCCGCGCAACAATCTGAAGCTGGAATCGACGATTTGCTTGACAGAAGAATGTATGGTTGAAGAAAGAGTAGGACCGGCACCAATTGTGCTTCCATGGCAACAGAGCAAGAAGCCTTGAGGAGCGTTTAAGTAAGACTCCATTGCTCTTTAAGTGATTCAGCTTTTGGAGCTTCTCCAGTCCATAGCAT